AAAATACTTTCCTCTTTATAAGTTGGTTTGTCCAAGATACTTGTTACAGTAATGGAAAGCTGACCAATGCAAGGTGATGCTACATGCAATCTAGTGCCACAACGATTCCTGTTGGGCTGGCTCACTAACAGGGTGGAGGCTCAAATGCTTGGAAAATAAAGAAGAGAATTGTGAACTAGTACAACTAAAGGTGGCTTTGTACCTTTGTCAAAGCTCTTGGGAAATATGTCTGTACTGAAGGCTTCAGCTGGTATGCTCTCGCGTGGAAAATAATTCCATCTTGTATCTGTTGAGCTTGAATTCCACTGTCAAGAGTGCAGCCAGCGCGGTCTTACCAATCTGACTCGTGTGTGTGTGTGTGTGTGTGTGTGTGTGTGTGTGTGTGTGTGTGCACGTGTGTGTGTGCAGAATCCACTATGATGAAAGAAACAGCGGGGTGAGGGGGGAGACCTGGAGCAGGATGGAGCCTCCTGGGGGAGGGGATGTCCTTCTGTATGCTGTAACTATGTATTTTTCTTATTGGTTGTTGAATAAAGCTGTTGTGGCCAATGGCATATCAGAGTAAAGCCAGGCGGGAAGTCCGAACAGGGATAGAGAGAGATAGTAGGCAGGGTCAAGGAGGCACCATGTAGCTGCTGGAGAGTCAAGGTACAAGGGCATCACCAGTAAGCCAAAGCCACGTGGTGATATTCAGATTAATAGACATGGGTTAATAATTAAGAGAGAGCTAGCCATTAAGAAGCCTAAGCTATTGGCCAAATGATTGTACAGATATTACTCCTCAGAGTGGATTTTCATAAGTGAATGCAAAGACCCACTGGGTGGAGAGAAACTGGTTCAGTGGTTTCTCCTTCTACAGGAGCCCTTGCACACTCTTTTCTTGCTTCAGAGGTCTTTCTGTGCTCTGCTGCTCTCCCTCCTGGCATTATTGCATGAGTTGTGCCTGGTCCAGTCTCCCTTATGAACAGTGTATTCTATCTAGTTCATGCACTGGACTCACAGCGTGTCCTGAGGCTTTGCAAACTGGACACTGCAGGATTTGGGGAAATGATCAGTGTAAGGACAGTTCTAGCTACTACAATGACTCTGAAGAAAATGTGGGACTTACCTTCAATGAGCTATACCATCAGGAAAGCTAAGCTGTGCCAAGATGGGTTAAATATGAGGAATATAAGGAGAGAGGCATGAATGTCACCTGAGGAACTGGAGAATATGTCACCTCATGAAGTCTGATCTAGCTCCTGCAGAGTAAGTAGGACTTCTGTAGGCTCCATGGCTGCCATCCTCATGACACTCTGAGTGTCCACAGAATGTTCTCAAACCTCAGAAAACATAGATCTTATTTAAAGCCACTCAGCATTGAAAGACAAGGAAATAACCTTTCCTTCACTGTGCCCTCACACAGTACCCAACACAGCATGCAACATCAACCATCATGGTGGCTCACATGGTACCCAAAACATATGCAACATTGACCATCATGGTGGTAGACAAAGTGTCTACCTGGAACCTATGGTGTATGTCTGTGTGGGGATGGAAGTTTCTGTCCTGCCTGGACTCACAGCTAGTTAGTCCCAAATAACACACAGAGGCTTATATTAATTATAAATTATTTGGCTGATGGCGCAGGCTTCTTATTGGCTAGCTTTCTTAATTATTAACCCATTTCTATTAATCTGTGTATATCCACGTGGTCTTGGCTTACCGATGATACCTGGATCTCTTTCTTCCTTGGCAACTACATGGGGTCTTGCTGGCAACTCATTCCCTGTGTTCCTCTTCCCAAAGTTCTCCTAGTCTGGTAGCCCTGCCTATACTTCCTGCCTGGCTACATCCTGCCTGTCCATTGTCCAAAACAGCTTTACTCATCAACCAATAAGAGAAACATATATTCTCCCATCATCTGTGTCTTAAGAACAGACACACATCCTTTAGTACTTCTGTATCATTTACGGATGGAAAGAGTGAGGGGTTCATGACGGGAATGATAGTCACCCTGGAATAGTAAACCCCCAGAGATGCACCAATGTACTTGTGTGATAAGGATCTGAGTCTTTGGGGACCAGGATGTTATGTGTTTCCAAGAGCTCATAAGGTTATAGCTTGGCCCACAGTATAACAATGTTCAGCAGCAAGGCTTGGGAGGTGGCTGGGTCATGAGAACTCTGACCTCTCAATGGATGAGTCCATCTATGGATTCAGAGCTGTTGGGAATGGTAGTCACTTGGGTCCCAGTCAAAGGAAGCAGGACCTGGGAGAAGTATCCTCTAAGAATGTATCTCGTCCCTACTCCCTTCCTCTCTGTTTCCTGGCTGCTATGAGATGAGGTGAACAGCTTTGCCCCAAGGTGTGTTCTCTGCCAGGGTAAACTATCTTTACACAAGCCAAGAAACAATGAAGCCAAGTGACTGTGGACAGAGGCCTTTGAAACTGAGCTAAAAAACCAACCCTTCCCCGTTTTAGTTTATCTCAGGTATTTTTGTCACAGTGACAGAAAGCTAATGTAGGGCTCAGCTAATGTTTCCCAAGAAGGACCAGACAGTGACAAACAAATGGTTGGAGAGATGGCTCAGTGAATAAGAGGACTAGCCGAGCAAGTGTGAGGACCTAGTCCAGGTCCTCGCATCTGTGTCCCGCAGGGCATGGCCACATGCATCTATAGCCCAGAACTGTTGAGTGTGGAGACAGGAGGCTCTCTGAGGCTTACTGGCTATCAGCTTAGCTCAAAAGCCCCTGTGTAGTGGTTTGAATGAGAACTGTCTCTCACGGGTTCGTGTATTTGAACACTTGGTCTCCATTTGATGGCACTATTTGGAGAAGTTGTGGAACCTTTGGGAGCTGTTGACTTTCTGGAGAAAGTTTGTCCCTGGGGATGGGCTTTGAGAGTTTATAGCCTGGCCCTACTTCCATGTAGCTGGACTTTCTTTGGACTGCCAGCTCCCAAATAATGACACAGTGACTTATCAAAGCTTGCCCTCAGCTTAGGCTTGTTCCCAACTAGCTCTTAAATCTTAAATTAACCCATTTACATTAATCTGTGTTCTCCCACATAACCTCTGCTCAGTACTATGCCACCCTGCTTCCTCTGTGTCTGGCTGCTGAATTCCCCTCTTCTCAGATTGTTCCACCTAGTTCCTCTCTTTTTCTGGAAGTCCCGCCTATCTTTTCCTGCCTAGCTATTGGTCATTCAGCTATCTATTAAACCAATGAGAAGGTGCCTTATCAGAGACATATCTTCACAGGGTACAAAAAGATCATCCCACAACACTTCTGTTTTGCTGTCTCTGCTTTGTGTTTGTGGTTGAAAAGGTGATTATCAGCTTGCTCTGGCTATGATGTTTGTCTGACTGTGGCCATTCCTCCCCTGCCGTTATAGACTCTTTTTCTGGAACCACAAACCAAAATAAACTCTTCTATAAATCACTGGTGGTCATGGTGTTTTGTCACAGCAGCAAAAAGTAACTAATACACCCTGTGTCAAGAGAATAATCACTTGGAGAGTGATCCTCCTGCCTCAGCCTCCCGAGTGCCACCGTGTCCAGTATGAAAGTAAATATTACTTTATGCCATGGGGGCAAAACCTTTCTCATGAGGCTAGTCAATGCTGTTGTAAGAAAAGCAGCCATACTGAGCACCCATGGGAACAGGTGTGGCTGTGTGCCAATAAAACTTTATTCGTAGACACTGAGATTTAAATTGCATAGCATTTTCATGTCATGAGATATTCTTCATATTCATGACAAGTTATTGTGGTGTCTTTCAAGCTGTAAAAACTACCCCAATGTTGCAGGCTCCACAAGAAGCAGCAGGCCAGGTCTTTCCCACAGGTGGAGGTGTTCCCTTGCCAACTGCGCCAGCTCTGTGTGGTACTCCAGTGTTCACTGCAAGGACCGCAAAAAGTCCTCCCTGTCTGCCAATCAAGCTTGATTCTGTTTCTGGAGGCAGGTTCAGTGCAGCAGGGGTCTGAGGAGGCAGCAGGGTTTAAATGATGCTGCTATGTGTGCATGTATGCTAAGTGTCTGTGAAGCCTTGCTTCTTGGGGTGGGTTTGTTTGCTTGTTTGTTTGTTTGTTGTTTCCAGCAAGGATCTGGCCTCAGAAGCTAGACTGAGACTGTGGGTCTTCAGTTCTGAGAGGGTCTGGATGATTCTAGAAATAACCCCTCCTATTTTTAACACCCTTGCCCGAGTCACAAGGTTTCTAGTTTCATGCCAAACAATTCCAGAGCTCAGATAATCCAGTTGGAGTTCAGAACCTCCGAGTTATCCCTCCCTCGCCTGTGAAAGCCCTCAGTGGCCCAGGCAGTGTCCTCCAGTTTCCTAAGGCTGTGACCCTTTAATACAGCCCCTCATGTTGTGGCGACCCCAACTGTAAAACTATTTTTTGTTGCTACTTCATAACTGTAATTGTGCTACTGTTATGAATCATCGTGTAAATATCTGGTATGTAGGATATCTGTTATGTGAACCCCAAAGGGGTTGGGACCACACAGGGTGAGAACCGCTACCTCAGAGGGACATTGCTTCCTTTTCATCTCCAGGATTTAGGGTGCCAGGCCTATGGCCAGGAAGCTTAGCAATTGCTATGCAAGGCACAAAGGGAAAAGAGGCGTTTTGGGGATCTTTTATTTCAAAGCACAGTTTGATTCTACGCAGTTAAAAATGTCTGTTGGGGATCCTGGAAGCCAAGGAGGGATGTTCAGATCACAGAAAAGGGTTTCACACTGAGGTGGGGAGAAGAGTGGGGGAGGGGCTGGCTCCGAATGCTGGCGAAGCTCAGAACTGGTCAATGGGTACAGGCTGCCTTTGGAAGTTTTCTAAAGATGACCAGACCAGTTCTTCAAAGACAATGGGCATGGTGCATGAGCCTGAGCTGGGGCAGGCCTAAGAAAGGACCCTTCAGACACTTGCCCGCCTGCTTCCTGTGACCCTAGGCAGGTTTGAGTTCATGTCCACACATAACTGTTTGCAAAAAGGAACTCAGAGCGAGAGGCACAGAGCATGGCAGACACGGAATCAGGGTAGATGTGAAAATCCCTTCCTAGCCTCCAAGAGACTCTGGTCTGGGCACGATCTTCCCAAAGTTAGTGTTCCTGTTCAGCGTCCATGCAGGACTCCCAGGGGTTCTGGGGCATCCGAGGCAGGGAGAAGAGCAGGAGGAACAGCCCACCGAGGAAGAGCAGGGTGAAGGAGGTACAGGCACAGGCAAAGGACCAGGAATAGTAGTACTCGATCCAGACGGTGTCCTCGCTGTCAATCATGCGCTTAACCGATTGCCTCATGACCTCCACGGAGACAAGAAGACAGAGCCCTGGGGACAAATCCAAGAGTCTCAGCGACAGATGGTGCTCCTGCTGCCGCCCCACCCTCCCCTAACCTCTGTTCCCTGCCTTTGACCTGGTCCTGGGAGAAAAATGCTTCTAGATGGTTCTAACTGGGAATCTGCAAAAATGATCCTTGCCTACCACTTCCCTCCCTGCAGTACCCACATCCTGCAGTAGGTTACCCAGAGACTGGCTACATTCCTTCTTTCTCTTGTTAATTGCTCTCTGGGGAGGGTCCTCAGCATTCCTCCTAAGGGTACATGGTGGTGGGGGCGGGGAGGGAACAAAGCAAGCTGTCTCTCTCATAGCCTTCCTGGGGTCACCAGGGTTCTGAGTTTGTTCCTGTGTGGAGTGGGGAGCCTTAGGGAGTGGGGATTGGGCAGCCCCCAGGGAGCCCCCTCCCACCCAGGCACTGCAGGGTCCCACTCTACCTGCAAAGGCATAGAACATAGATGCTGGCCTCAGAAGATAATCACGCTTATTCCCAAAGGAAAGAAATGAGCAGATGGAGCCCACAATGATGAAGCCGAGGCTGAAGATGGCGATGGCCGCTGCTGAGATGCTGTACTCTGCAAAACAGGGGCAGCCTCAGAACCAGAGCCTTCCAGGCATTTCACACCATCAGGCTGCTTACTGAGCTTCCACAGCCTAGATTCCCATTTCACACCTGACTAAGGCTCGCTCACTTTCTAACTCCTTCCAAGTCGGGCGCTGTTGTGGAAGAGTGAGGCCAGATGCTAATAGGATGGATTCACCTGTGTCTTTCCAGGCCGCTAAACTGCAAGGTTCCCTGAGGCAAAGGCCTCAGAGGGAGGCAGGACACCCTGTGGCTAGAGTCTTTCCTAGAGCCAAAGCCTTCCTGAGTGACAGGCTGAAGGAGGCACTGAGCTGTAGGTGGTCGTCTTAGATTGACAAGGGGACTCTGGGAGATTGACAGCTGTGTGGGTGTTACCTAGCATGTGAGTGTGAGGACGTGTGGGTTGCCTAAGAATTCATCAGAGTATGTGCCCGGGTCTGCATGTGAGAAGTGTGTGTGTGTGTGTGTGTGTGTCTGTGTGAGAGAGAAACAGACAGACAGAAGAGTATCTATCAGCATATGTGGATACACATGTGTATGCCTTGCTCATGAGGCTGTCAGCATTTGCATAAACCTCACACACGAGGATCTGCCTGTGTGTGCATACAAGTATGCATGTTCCTTTCATTTGACTTTGTGTGTATGCATTCTTCATGCATGAGGATCTGTTGGCATATTCATGCATGTGTGATTGTTACCTGCACCAAGGGTCTCAGTGTGTATGATGCCCCATGCATGAGGCCCTGTTTTTTTTTTGTTTTTTGTTTTGGTTTTTCTGTGTGTGTGTGTGTGTGTGTGTGTGTGTGCGTGCGTGCATTAAGATTCTCAGTGTGTTTGCATGCCTTGTGCTTGAGAATCTGTTGGTGTGTGCATGCGATTACATGGGAGGGTCTTCTAGCGTGTGCACGAGTGTGTCTTTGTTGGCTCTTGTATACTCTCTAACCCCCTGCTCCCATCCCACATGGCCCAGGTTCTTCCTGCTGATGAGGTCTCTGAGTTCTGTTGATGAAGGGCAGGAATACTACGTTTCCTCAGCTCTGGGGGCTGTTAGTGAGGGCAGGACTACCACTGTCCCCACAGAGCATACACACAGAGCCTCCCACCCACCCACCCACCCGATAACCCTGCTCCAGCACTGTGAGAACCTGTACCACTTTCTTAGCCCTCTGGCTCTGCTGGATAGTATGTGTTCCTGCAGCAACTTACAGCCTTGCGAGCAAGTCTATGGAGTTCACTGACAAGTGTCCTCTGAGAACCTGGCCCCAGAACTGCTTGCATGTGCAGGGATGTGACAGGGCACCAGCCTACAGCTGCTTTTCATCCTGGGCAGGAGTCAGCACGTTTCTGCAGAGTGGCTGCTAGCTCAGCAGCTGGTGACAGACGTCGCTTTCCACCGCCACCCCTGCCTTCCAGGGCCTCACCTTTCTGAGTGGTGAATTCAAAGATCTCTGAGCTCTCTCCTGGGTTGAAATGCCGGAAGTATGAGCAGTTCTTTTCTGTAAAGGAGGAGATAGTGTGTGAGCAGGAAGAAAGGACAGGTGTCTCCCCACTGAGCATGCAGGACCCGATGGCTGCCTATCTTCCCCCACACTCTGAATCTGGCCCAAACATTTCCTTGACCTTTAGCATGCTATTTCAGCAGACAAAGGATGGCAAAGGGCATCAGGGAGTAAAGAATGGATTCTTGGGGCAGACAGCATGCAACCTCTGAGCCCATTAAGCAGTTGGGGCAACTGAGACCCAGGCTTATATTGCTCCTGAAGTAGGGGCCATACATGCTTAGCAAATAACCAATCGATGATCTTAGCATGTGGATCCCTCACCTGGGGGCCCTGGGCAATGCCTAGAGCCAGCGATTGTACTAAAACCCCTCAAGGCAGCCTGCCACAGCATGGGGTTATCCAGGGTGAAATGTTAATAGTTAATAGCTAAGGGACCTTGGATTAAACTACAAGCAGACCCCTAGCTTGCATTCACAGTGGGACCTGGGGAGCAGCATTTTTCAAAAGACTTCCAGGGGCTACGGAGATGGGTGCTGTTAGGGTGCTTGCCACACAAAGCATGAGGATTTCCAGCAACCAGGTAAAAAGCTGGGTACAGGGCTGTGCATCTGCAGTCCCAGTGATGGGGAGGGGGTGGGAGATTGCTGTAACTCACTGACAAACAGTCTAGCCAATCCGAGAGCTCCCCATCTCAAAAAGCAAGACGGGGAGCAATTGAGGAAGATACCAGATGTCAACTTCTGGCCTCCACATGCACAGACATACAGGTGTGTGTGAACCTCACACATGTACACATACAGGGTGGGGGGGGGAGGCAGAGAGGGAGGAAGAGAGAGGTGGGGGAAGGAGGGAGAGAGAGGGAGGGGGGGCTTTCTGGAAGATCCTGATGCTCATCGAGGTCGGAAACCCCAGCTCTGCCCTGCAAAGGGCTCCCCTGAATGTCACTTCTCCAGACCCTCAGGACCTGAGTCATGTGGACCGCAGACAAAACATCCCCTGGCATGTTCTTAGAGGCTTCTTAGCATTGTCATGGAAGCCATGTGGACACTTAGACTTGAGACCTGGATGTTATAGGCAGCAGGAAGTGTAAACATGGGCTCTTCCAGCTTTCCCCTTTAGCTTTCTCCATTGTCTCTTTCACAGCTTGATAGAATGCCAACGTATAATTGCAGTCCTTATTGAGTACGTCAATATTTGTTATCCATGCTTTACTGAGTTAGGAAGGATAAGAGTGGACTATTTATATTATTTTGTGTTTGTTTTTGAGATGAGGTCTCACACAGCCCAGGCTAGCCTTGCATTTACCGTATATCCAAATGTAGCCAACGATATCTCGAAGGGCTGATTTGTCTACCTGTCCCTTCCCAGTGCTGGGGCTACAAGTCCTTGCCGCCATTCCGGTTTATGTGGTGCTGGGTGTGCAGCCGGGCTTTGTGCCCGCTCTCCCTACTGCTCTGCTCCCTCCTCCCTATTTTCTGGTTTTGTTTGTTTGCTTGTTTGTTTGGGGGGGACAGGGTTTCTCTGTGTAGCATCTCTAGCTGTCCTGGAACTCGCTCTGTAGACCAGGCTGGCCTTGAACTCACAGGGATCCACCTGCTTCTGTCTCTTGAGTGCTGGGATTAAAGGCGTGCACAATACCGCCCCTCTATTTTCTATTCCTTGAGAAAATTAAGTTAGGTTGCTTCTTTATTTACACGAGGCCCTGTCTTGGTGTCTTTTTTCTTGTGTTTCTGTCTCCCTTATTGTAAAAACTAAAAATCTCTGCGTTCACGTTTCCGTGGCATTGAGTGTGAATTCACAGCTTCACTTCCAGGCTGTGTTGAATGCTCATTCCCCAAAGCCTGGTACCCAGGCTCTTTTAGATATGTACCCCGGGGCTGCCGCTGTCACGGCTTTGAACAGGATGAAGGCTTCCTTCTACCTGGCTACATCATTTCACCACTACTTAATTCTGTCCTTCCCCATGCCTCTCCCGAGGCTGAGGACCAGAATGCCTGGAGATGGGGTCTGGCCTAGCAGCAGTGCTGTTCCTGCAAGCAAGCTGCCTTTTCCCCAAGCGTCTATATTTAAATCGCTTTTCTTTTGAGCCAAGCTACCTGGGGTGTCTGAAGACCAGTGGTGATGTCAGACTCAACACAGCTCTTTTCTCTCACAGTGTCTGTGGCTATTTTAAAGCATAATGCAACCCTCTTATATTTATGAGATCAGTAGCTGTAGATTTCTCTTGAATCACTGCCTCAAAACGGCTCACGCTATGTAACATGTCTCCCTGGGTCTCCCTCAGGACAAAGGAACATTTCTGTTTCGTTCTTTAAGGGCCAATTTCAGTTGCCATTGAAAACCCTCCAAGAAGAATTGACTGAATTCAAGTGCATTTCATGGTCAGTTGCTTTCCAGGCTACTCGCCGCTTGTAAGTTAAGAGCCCTCCGAGTGAGGTACATGCAGCCTGGAGAGTCTGGTGACTACCAATGGTTGGCCCTTCTGGGTTGCAGAGGTGACTCTTGCATAGCATACTGGGGAGTCAGCTGTTACCAAATAAATGCCAGGGCGGACAGCAGTGTGTAGACAGACATGCTGGATATCAGGGCAGAGAAGGCTGAGCCCAGCTGCACTCACTGGGATAAGCTGCATACCTGTGGGCACCAGGCAGGTGTCACTGGGGTAACTTGTTCCCTTGGGTAGTGTATATAATGTCTCCTTCTCCTTCATTAAACATCCTCAAAAGTAGGTGATGGGGATAGGGGGCATTAGGAATACTGGAAGCCTTAGTTTCTCCCCAGTATCCTCAACTTTGGATAAGAGGACAGACAGGTTGACCCATATTCTCTCTTGAACTTGGCGTATGAAGAAGACCCCTGTCCTTGGCTTTCAACCTGAGAGAAATATATCTGCTTTAGACCCAGAGGGCTGCCTGAGGGAGAACACAAGCCCCTTTACAGTCCCTGATGGCTCCAAAGATGGAGTAGCCACACCAGACACTCAGAACCAACCAAGCCAGCAGCTTTAGAGAACAACACAGGGCCCTACAGATGGTCACACGTCATGCGACTTAGTTTTCTCCACCTTTGCCCCTCGGATGGATGGTAGTATTTGGGAAACTGAGCAATAACAAAGCCTAAAACAGATGACTTAGTAAGCGTTTGCTGTGCAAGCGTGAGGACCTGAGTTTGATCCTCAGGACCTTCGGGGGTTGGGGTAGTGGTGCGTATGGCGACCTACACTTGTGATGACAAGCTGGAAGGCAGAGCTAAGTGGACCCCTGGGGCTGTCAGCTAGCCAGCCCAGCTAAATCAGTGAGCTCCAGGCTCAATGAGAGATCCTGTCTTCAACAATAACGTGGAGGACAACAGAGACACCTCCTGTAGACCTTTGTCATTCATATGAGCTTGCACATACATGTGTGTATTGTGCAGACACACATACATGCATGTGCACACACATACACACACCATATGAAGCAAGCCCTAAGTGACCACTTAGTCACAGGTAAGGTTGGAGAGGTGAGGGATGGGGTGGTCTGACCCTTCCTGATTCTGCCTCTCTGACACCATTGCATAGATTTGGGGGCTCAGACTCTACCTTGATGGCCTCCGTCCCTTCACTGCGGAGACACAGACAGTGATTTAGAACAATGTAAGCAGAGATCCCAGTACCGAGAGGACCCAGAACCATCATTAGGGTCTCTGAGGTTATTGCCATCTAAGATTATTTCTTCTACAAAATGCAGTGCTATAAAATGTGAACTGGGCTATTCCTTAAAAATATGCACAGCCATGTGTGGTGGCACATGCCTTTAAACTTGGCATTTGAGGGGCACAGAGACAGGCAGATCTCTGAGTCCCTGACCAGCCTTGTCTACATTGTGACAATGCTACTACATAGTGAAACCACGTTTCCAATCCAAAACAAAACAAAAACCAGCGAGCCCAGCTCAGGCTTGCCTGGGAACTGGGGCATGGGTGGCTGGCTGACCCATAGTACGGTTCAGTCACCGGCTGTGCAGAATCCAGGGTGACAATTTCAAAGAATCAGAGGAGCAGGCACATGAAACCGCAAGGTGACCTTTAACAGGGGACAAGCTCTGGGTTGTCACTGAGACTATCACCGGGGTAGCAAGCACCTGGCAGTGCAGATTTAATATAGTAAAAATAACTTGATGTGTGGAAAACCCCAGAAACTGGTGCTTCTAATCACCACTGAGGAATCCCTGAGATGAGTCCTGTTCTTTCATGGGGGAGTCTAGATAAAGTTTCAGCCCCCCCCCACCCCAATACAAGTTCATGTGGGTAGGGAAGGGAGCCCTGGAGATCCCTGAGCTCAGTGACATCATGCCCTTCTTTTGCCCACAACATGTGCACTGAGGAGAGGTGCGTGTGTGCAGAGAAATGGGCTGCCAGGGCTGCCCTAGTGAGGCCGAACCTGAAAGAAACAAGGGCGAGGACAGTTCTTCTGGGCTTCTGGGATGACACACGGTCTCCCTTATAAGCAGGAGAAGCCCCTCCTCCCACTCAGGAGGCATCGGCACCAAGCTCAGGGGTTGATCTTGTACACAGCAGAATGCCTATGGCCCCTCGTGGACAGTGGGGCACTCACACGAAGCACCCTGTCCTGTCTATCCTGCAAGGAATCCTCCAACACACCATGGCAGAATGGTTTTAGTGGAGCCGCCCATATCAGTTCTCAGTCTGGCTGCCTGTGATCATGTCATGGCATACAAATATGGGGCTCCTTGTGGCCTCTTAAGACAGATGGTTTTAGGAGCTGAGTATGTACCCTGGAAGTTATGGGATGGTTCTGGAGAGCAAGGGGGCTAGGGATTTAAGACCTGGGTGTTGAGCCTCTCCTCGTTAGTTAGCCCGGAGAAGGCCATGCTCACCTTCAGGGTTCTTCCTTGTCAAATGAAAACTATCCATAGAACAAAAGCCTCCTCGATGACGCAGAAACTGAGACTGTGGACATAAGGGGCAAATGTCTAGGGGCAAATATCTGCTCA